GGCCTCCTTGGTCCGTGTTTCAAGACGGGTCGCATCAGCCCGTTTCGCCAGCGCCGACCCGTGAGGGTCATCCTCGGTCTCCGCCGCGGTGGGAGCGAGCTCCTTTTCCCGCGGCATCGACCGGCGCTGCGTACCTCCGGGCCCCGCGCGAACGGGGCCCGCAGGTTTGCTTGGGCTCATGCGCTTATCCTCCTGACGATTTCAAGCACTTTTTACTCTCTTTCCAAAGTTCTTTTCATCTTTCCCTCGCGGTACTTGTTCGCTATCGGAAACCTGGCCGTATTTAGCCTTGGATGGAGCTTACCACCCATGTTGGGGCTGCACTCCCAAGCAACCCGACTCTTCGGATGCGTCTCGTGGAGTGACGGGTCGTCGCCCGACGGGGGTGTCACCCTCTCTGCCGCCACTTTCCAGTGGACTTAAGGCGGCGCCCGTCACAGAGAACGCTTCCTTTTCAGACTACAATTCGGAGGGCCGGGGGCCCTCGGATTTCAAGCCTGGGCTTTTCCTTGGTCGCTCGCCGCTACCAAAGGAATCACGGTTGTTTTCTTTTCCTCCGCTTAGTAATATGCTTAAATTCAGCGGGTGGTCTCGCCTGACTTGAAGCCATCGTTTGGGGTTTGCCCGGTTCCTCCCCGTCCGACCATTTTTGTACGAGCCCCGTCCGCCTCTCGCCCGTTCTTGTGCGCTACTTTGGAGGGGGAGACCGGGGGTTGCCACGCCCCCGGCTCCCGAACCTTTTCGCGACCGTCTCGGGAGAGAAAAGAGGGACCGAGTGACCGGCCCCCCCACCTGCTGGGAGGTCCGGACGGAGTCCGTTGGCCGGCTGGGTTCGCCGAGCCCAGCGGGGTCGCCGCCCGCCTCATCTCGCTCGTCCCACTCGCGTCCTCCCGGGTGGCGCCCGGGGATCTGCACTGGGGTCGAGAGGAGCGGAGACGGGCTAATGCGGCCCTGCGATTTCAACCGACTGCCCCCCATTTGTGCCCCGGAGCGCACGGGTTGCGACGGCCATCTCGTTTTCCCAGGTACGAGCGATTGTCTCGGAGAAAGGGGGGGGCCGGAGCCCACACCAACCCGAGCGCCCCTTGTCTGCCCCGCATTGCTTTCCCGTCCCGTTTCCCCTGCCGCACTTAGCTGCGTGCGGAGGGGTGGGTTCGGATGCGAGGTTCCACCTGGATGTGTGTGGCGTTCAAGCAGACGTGCCCTCGGCCGAGGCCTCGGGCGCAACATGCGTTCAAAGTTTCGATGATTCACGGAGTTTTGCAATTCGCATTACGTATCGCATTTCGCTGCGTTCTTCATCGAGCCAGGTTCCAAGATATCCATCGTCAGGAGTGGGGTCCCAGTTTTTATTAGGTGCCGGGGCCCGTGGGCGCCCCGCTCAAGGGAGGGTTTTTTGCGACCGGACGGCCAGTTCCGGTTGCGGAGAGGTTTGTATTCCGCCTCTGCCCGCAGCTCCTTGATGCACTGCGAGCGGGACGGTTGGGGGTAGCAAAAGGGTCCCTTTGCCATCACCGCGGGCGCCCCTTCCCGAGCCTTCCTAGAGGAATTCAGAAGGCCGGGCGAGCAAGACCCCGCAGTCACACCGCCGATGCCAAGAGAGACCGAGCACCGGTGGCGGGGGACGCTGGATTGGGAGGAGGAGCGTCGGAAGGAAAGGTGTTCAGAGGATACTCGAGGTCAGGCCCCGGGCTTCCCTCGCTTGCGCTTGGTAGGCCCGAGCTGTTTCCATCAGGGCTGGGGAGTTTTTTTTTTTGTCCGCATGGACGCCCGGTGCCGCCGGGTTGCTGCATTCCCTGGTGTCGAGGCTCGTCACGAACTGGAAGGAAAGAGCTTCGGGTGCCACCCCTCCGCCCAGGCCGACCGTGTCCGCGTCTTGCCTCGCTCCCGATCGCGGCTAGCCTTTCGGGTGGCGGCCCTAATAAGCTCGCTGCGTGAGAGGGGACGGCAACCTGACCTCCTGCGAGAGGAGGTTCGCCCGGTCCCCCCGAGTTGCGAGCAACCCGGAGGACCCGAGGGCGGTCGTTTCGTCACTCGTTCTTAGGGGCGTTTGCCGAGGTCTGGGATCAACCAGGGCGGTGCCCCATGCCTGTCGGGGTGCGCTTTCCGTTCAGCACCACAACGGATCCATCGGTGCTCGGACTTTTTTCGAGCCACCGCACCACGCCAGCTCGCCGATCGCTCGCCAAAACGACCGACGCGCTCGCGGGGCACGGCCTGAGGTGGGGTTCCTGCATTGTTCCGACGGATCCTCCGACAAGGCCACGGGCACGGAGATCCGGCAGCCGGCTGAACGCCGGTCGTCATCCTTCCGTGCCCTCGAGCGTGCTCTGGACGCTCGCCTCCTCCTAGGAGGAACGCGAGAGCCCGCCATCTCTCTCGTCGCCGCTCGCAGCCCGGGCACGGGTGGAACCCGATTCCTTTTTGCGAGCGGGACGCGAGCACGCGCTTTCCCCACCCAGGAGGCCGATGCAACGCGAGCGCCGCACCTGCCGACCCG